GAAAAAGAAAAATACCACATGAGATCACTCATATGTGGAAACTTAAAAAACATAAATACAAAACAGAAACAGACACATAGACATAGAATACAAACTTGTGGTTGCCAGGGGGATGAGGGGTGGGAAGGGACAGACTAGGATTTCAAAATGTAAAATAGATAAACAGGATTGTACTGTGTAGCACAGGGAAATATATACAGGATACCGTGGTGGCTCACAGTGAAAGAGAATGTGACAATGAATATATGCATGTTCATGTATAACTGAAAAATTGTGCTCTACACTGGAATTTGACACAACATTGTAAAATGACTGTAACTCAATAATAAAAAAGTTAAAAAAATAGTGAACAGATGAAAATCTGCCTTCATGGGCCTGCATTCAAGTGGGTGGAGATAGACATTAAACAGGATAAATAAAGTAAGTATGGTGCTAAGGGATATAGAGGAGAATAAAACAAGGAAGAAAGGAGTATCAGAAGTGGGGAGGAGTGGCCTTGCTGGTAGAACTCTGAGAGGGTGAGAAATGGATCCCTGGGGATGAGCATTCCCAGCAGAGGCCCTGAGGTGAGGGCAGGCCCACTGTGGCCACAGAGCAGTAAAGAGGCCCGTTTGCCCAATCAGCCTAAGGTGTGTTTCATTTGGCTCTCACAGGGCTAAACCTTTGTTTTGAGTTTGGATGCCTTTGGATGGGCATCACTTTATCCACAGGCCCTGTTCTTCCCTATTGTCTTGCACTCATTTGTTTCCTGGCTTTGGGTCTCAGAGATAATTGTGCATTGTATGTCGTGGAAGCAATGGAGAGCCACAGGACAGGTGGACAGAGCAAAGGACTTCCAACCCATCTGGTGTGGATGGAGGATCAAGGTCAACCACTCTCCACCCCCAGGTTCTTCACCATGGGAAATAACAGTCCACGATCCCAGAGTAGGGTGCTCCCCAGGAAGGGCTGGGGTTGAAGCTTTCCACCAACAAAGAGAAATGAGAACTCAGAGTCAGAAGTAAGTGGAGTTATAGAAACCAGATCTTTGTAGACTAAGAGTCACATCCACAAGAATGACCTCTACTAAACCTCTCCTACATTCCAGACATCTTTGGACTCTAACCTCTATTTAATCCTCAGCATAACTGCTCAAGCTAGATGTGATTTCTCTACTATTGTTCTCCATTTCTTAGGTGACAAAGCTGGTTCCCAGAGAGATTCAGTGACTTGCCAAGGTTGTGCAGTGAATTCCTGGTGAAAGTGTATCCAGATCCCATCCATCGGCCTCTAAAGGGTAGGTTCCTTGTTGTAAACCGTACTGCTTATAGGGATGGAGTCCTGCACCCCATCCCGTTGCTACCAGTATTACATAGGGTGCACACACATGAAAATAATCCAGATGGTCCTGTCATTGTGGCAATACTTTATGAACATTCATCTCATATGAGCCTCAAAGCAACTCTGAGTTGGATAGTGTCACTCGATTTTGCAGACAAGGCAACAGAAGGAGTGACATAGGATGGTGTGCCCCAACTTACACAGCAGCAGGTTAGGGGACTTGAAGCTGGGCCAGTCCTGTCCCAGCACTGCAGCACCTGTCCTGAGACAGGATTGTAAGCATGAGACCTGTCCACCCAAGCCAAGCTACTTGCCCCAGACTTTTTGCCATATTAGCAAAATGCTACATGATGTATTGCAAAAAGAAGGCTGTAATTCTCCATGCCTCCTAAGTCCGATACCCACTTGCAGCCTTAGATATTTCAATCACAGAATAATTGACAGGTTCACATAATCTAAGAGCTGGATATGACCCAATAGGCCAGCTACCCACTTACAAATTCACAGCACATAAGGGTTTTCAGTGAAGTGCTACCTCTTGTAACTGACTTGCCAGCTTCCAGGACCCTGTGCATTCTCTCTGTGAAACGTACTGACTGCTGCTTCCTCGTTGTGGGTTCATTGAATGTGCTGCCAGAGAATGTCCACACCTTCCAGGATGCCACACACAATGGCATCTACCTGTGGATGTGAATGTCACCTACAGTGAGATGTATTTATTCCTACATCTATTTTATTCGTATCTTAACAAATGTCCCATAAACTGAGGAAATGTGAATGCAAAAGAAAGAGAATGATTGCTTCTTTAGGAACCAAGTTGACAGTTTTGGAGAGACAGTAAAGGAGAGATCCCAAAATAAGATCATTGTTGAATTGGGTGTAGGCAAGGCAACGGAATAGATTAGGGATGAAGCATAATATCTAGAGATTCCTGTACTAAAGTTGTTTTCCAGGTCTCTAAGTTCTCCCTCCTCTCTACAGAAACTGAGATTAGAAATTGTAGACAAAGCATTAAGGTTGTGATTTTTGTACAAAAGGCAGGGTGGGGTGGACTCCCAACACCCCAAACAGACTTATTCTCAGTGAAAAGATCTTGGCTCTATGTCAAACTATTGGTGAAGGAACAAACATTTGGATGTTACAGATTAACAAAGATGTTTAAGATATGTATACATAATTTAAAATGTTCTTCTTGCATCTACTCACATACGTATTTTTCCATTAATACATAAATGTGATTGTTATGTATTTGTAGTTTTAATGTCAATGCAGTCTTTATTTTCCCTTACTTTTTTTTTAATGATGCAATTTTTTAAATTGAAGTATAGTCAGTTTACAATGTTGTGTCAATTTCTGGTGTACAGCATAATATTTCACTTCACACATACACATACATATATTCGTTCTCATATTCTTTTTCATTAAAGGTTACTACAAGATATTCAGTATAGTTCCCTGTGCTATACAGTAGAAACTTGTTTACCTATTTTATACATAGTAGTTAGTATCTGCAAATCCTGAACTCCTAATTTACCCCTTCCCACCCCTTTTCCCCGCTGGTAACCATAAGTTTGTTTCCTATGTCTGTGACCCTGTTTCTGCTTTGTAAGTAAGTTCATTTCTTTTTCTTTTCTTCTGATTGGGTCCTCTCTCCCTTCCCCATCCCTCTCCTGCCACATGACTGTCCTTCCCTCAAAAACCATGATGACCACTGGGTCTGGATGCTGCCATGTTTTTCTCCACGTTCACGTGTGTTGGCGCCCATGCACAATGGGGGTGGTGATGGTGGCATTATTTCTCCTTTAAAATGGGACAATTTTATAAGCAGTGTCCTGCACTCTGCTTTTTCTTCTCAATTATTCTTGATAATCCCTATGAGTCACCTGATATAGCTCCAACTGATTCTTCTTAATGGCTACGGAATATTCCCTGGCACGTCCTAATATATTCAACAGTACCCTTTTTGAAGGACATTTTCTCCATTTTGTTTGTTTTCCACCATAAACAACAATTCATTCTCCATCCTTATGCACATAGCCACACATTCTGGTATTTTTATTTTTATGGGATAGATTCCCAGGAGTGGAACTGCTAGGTCAAAAGGTATACGTATTTTTAATTTTAGTTTTAATAGACGTTGCCACATTGCTTTCTAAAAAAAAAGGCTGTGGAATCCAAGAGCAATGATTAAAGTAACCTTTTCCTCTGCATCCCCAGCAGCAATGGGTATTATCGCTGTCTCAGAATTTTGATCATTCTGATAGAAGTAAAGAGGTAGCTCACTGCTACTTAAATTTATATTTCCCTGATTGCTGGAGTCTGAAATCTTTTGATACGGTTTTTATCTTCTGGACGTGCTCTTCTGTGAATTGTCTATTTGCATCCTTTACAAATTTGCATTCTTTTTTAAAAAAGATAATTTATTGCTTCAATTAATTTTTGCAGCTAGTCCATCAGTTTTCATTTCCTGTCCTGTTGGATAAGACTGAAAAGTGTAAACAATATCTATATGTTGCAATCATAAACCTTTTAAGATGAACGGAGGACATGAAAGCTGCAAAGGGCTATGAAAAACATGGTCTGGAAGAGGTCAGAACCAAAGGCAAAAGGAAGGATGAAATAAGAAACCAGGATGCTTAAGGAGAGAGAAATAATGTAGCCCCATGGTGCTCTAATTGGTACGTAGTGAAAAAACACAGTAAAGTCAAGTGCTCAGGAGAGATGCACATTCACACGTGTGTGCACGCATTTACACACACACAGTCATTCATAGAACATTTGCTATGTGCCATGCTCTGTGCTAAGTGCATTGCCTGCTGCGTCTTACCCCTCACTGGGAGGCAGGTGGTACTATTATCCTCATTAGACAGATGGAAAAACAAAGGTTCATAGAAGTGTAGTAGCATGGTTAAAATTGCATTTCTACGAAGTGTTAGAACCAGGATTTGGACCCAGGTCTGCTTGACCCCAAAACCTTAGCTAATGGATGACTGGACTGGAGAACGATCCGGGAGCTAACAGTGTGGACAAAGCTGGCATCAAAAAACTTGGGCCTACACTGGGGTTCCAAGCTGGGCCAGGAAGGGGTCACCAGGCACGTGGGGCGAAGTCAAAAAGCTGAAGCCTGGGTGGGGTTGTTTCCTGAGGAGCTGGTGTGGTCAGGAGGGCGACACGGGGAGGTTTTCATTCCTGGGAGAGTGACTGGGGCCCTGAGCTGGGGCAGGCAGGGCAGGCAGGGCAGGCAGGCGCCACTGAACCCGACCGGATGTAAGCACCAGCCAGATGAAGTGACTCACCCACCCTGGGGTCACGCCACACCCGCCCAGCTGTAACCACCAGCAAAGTGAATGTCACTGCAAGTTGAAGGATGTGCATATTAAGGAACTATTATTGGCTCGAGGCCCTGGAGAGAAAGGAGGGCCTTGTTCGCACTGACTTCACAAGTGCTTTGACAGAAGGCCCTCCCCTCGCCGCAGCCCCTGGGTGTGGAGAATCCCATAGTACAGAAGACCGAAGGGCCAGAAGAGCCAGGGTGGCGAGACGAGTCGCAGAGCTGGGGAAGAATTCTCAGTGGGGGCTGCAGGGGCGTGGCCTCTGGCGAGTCCTGGAGGGTCCCGGGCCTGGTCCCTAAGGATAATGCCACTCTCCCCCATCTCACAGCGGGTGAGTGAAATCACTGTAAAACTTCAAGGCACTAGGTACGTAGCACCATTTGTGAAGGGCTGGAGTGGCAATGCTAGAAAAGCCTTGGCTAGCCGTGGGAAGCCGGAGAGACCCCCCGACCCCAGGTGGACGGTGAGGCTGGTTCCATTCCAGCCAGAATGAGCGGTGAGAGGGCCCTGGCTGCAGTCTCTCCCCACACCGCCAAGAATAGGAGGATGTTAAATAGACCACATAATCGTGGGGCTGCCCGGAGCACCCACTAAGTTAAATCCTCTCCCAGTGGACTTCTCCCCCAGAGCATCTGCCCTGGAGATGTCTCTTGGAATCTATGAAAAGACTCTTTAGGGTTGGATCCAGCAGACAGAGTTTCAGATCTCAGTTCTATTTCTGAGCTGAAGCTATCCCTGACTTCCTCTCTGCTGCACTAGCAGAGCAGCATTAGCTGTTCATGTGGTTGTTGCGAATACATGAATGTATGGGAGAGGAGGGCAAAATACGTTTGGTGCTCGATAAATACTGATGAATTTCTTTTTTTTTCTTCTTCTTAATTAATTTTTCAGTTTTATTGAGGTATAATTGACAAATAAAATTATAAGATATTTAAAGCATGTGATAGAATTTCTCCCATCAAGTTAATTATCACATCCATCAACTCACATATGTATCTTTTTTTTTTTTGGTGAGAAACTTAGAACAAGTTCTACTCTCTTAACAAATTTCAATTATACAATACAGTGTCATCAACTATAGTTCCCATGGTATACATTATAATTAGACTTTATTCATCTTATAACTGAAAGTTTGTACCTTTATAACAGCCTCTTTCTATTTCATGCACCCACCAGCACCCAGCCACTGGCAACCACCTTTTTACTCTATTTCTGTGAGTCTGATTTTTTTTTTTTAAGATTCCACGTGTAAGTGATACTGTGCAAGTGTTTGGCTTATTTCACTTAGCATAATGAGCTCCAGGTTTATCCATGTCTTGCAAATGTCACAACTTCCTTCCTTTTAAAGGCTGAATAATACCCTATCGTGTGTGTATGCTGTATGTGATCACATCTCTTCATCCGTTCATCTGTCGATAGATACGTAGGTTGTGTCTGTACCTTGTCTGTTGTGAGTGAGGAACATGGGAGTACTTGATGAATTTGGATTCACAGTGTAACTCCATTCTCCACTTTGATTCCCCACCCCCCAGTGGGAGGAGGGGGCGTGTGCATGGAAGGAAGAGGACAGATGATTTGTAGGAATTCTACCAGGTACTGGGCTAGGTGCTCCCTCTATGGAAAC